TAGCCTGCTTTTGCTGGTGTAGCTCATTGTAGAACGTTCTCTTCCAAATGCAGAGGCAGCACGACATAACCTTGCTCGGGTGCAGGTCTGCTTGCGGATGTACGGGTGGATGCCTCCCTCGTGAGAGTCACGTGGTGACGCTCATGGTATTGACAGGGATCCAGCTCTCAATCTCCTTTATCAGGTTTTGTTTGAACTCCTGATAGGGCTGAGGAGGAGCGACTGGCACAAAAAATGTGTGACGGAAGTCGGTTAGTTGCCTGCTGTCGGAAAAACAGTGTGCAAGCTCCCCTGAAGGTCATGGATATATCAAACGGAGTCGGCCTGGTCGCACCAGCATGCCCTGCCGGGTACCTGCTGGTAGACTCCAGATTCTCTTTACTTTAATGGTGGAACACTTATAAGGGTTACAGGCAGCCATCTGGAATTGAGGTTGTCGGCGGGCCTCACATCTTCAGGCTCGGAGCGACGGTCACATCGATAACGTGATCCTCCGTGAACACAGCGCTAGTGCTGGAGACAGTTGAGGGTGCACTGGAATCGCGTTACCGCATTTGGGAGATCAGATTACAAACTTGGCCTTCTAAAAATAGCGGTTGTTCATCCAGAAAACCGCATGGCGGCTCATTTATACCGCATTTACCGCATTTATTCCTTGCGTGGTAACACTGGTTGTGATGAGAACCAGCTGGTAACAGTGGTCAAGCATCGGCTCTTGAAAACAAATCGATCTTCAGTTTTTGTCTCAGGACTTCTGTATCCTAATAGAATAAGCTCGTTTTACATTTTCATTTTCGTTTTCTAAAACCATAGTTTATTTCAGGAAGATGGCATCAGAGCACCTCTGAAGACACTTAAAGAGCCGGTAAGTACAGCGCACATCACCGTGTCTTACAAGGTCCTGGTCCTGCAAGCGAAGTGAGATGTGGCATCTACGAATGTAATGAATCCACTATCCCTAACTCCTTCTACTTGAGATCTTTTTACGAAACACCTATACTCTTCTTAGATTTTTCCCACATCTTGACATTAGACGGATAACAGAGGCCGCGGAACGACTGTTACCGTAGTCATCTTGACCCTTCGCCTCCAGTAACGACCTTGTGCACGTGCCGATCTGAAGCTTTCAGTATATCTTATCGATGATCGGGATCAAGGGTTTGCTTGTTTCGTTGAATCCAACCTTCATGCGTAAGCTGTCCAGTGACGCTTGAGCACATCCACAACAAGAAACCCGTGTCTGCTGATTTTCCAAGGCTTCTCATCGTTAAAAGTAGTTTTTCAGACAAAGTGCAAAACCTGCCATGACGAAATACCAGCCGGTACACCGTTTTATCAAGTTCATCCTGGCACCAAAATGCATGGGTTGCTGCATTGTACGTTATTTTTCCATTCAAAGGCTTCCATTAGATGGAGGTAGCTGGAAATGCCATACACCTAAGGCATCATAATTCTAGTGACAACTGAAGTTGTCTGAATTTTCTTGGCTTTCAGGCGGATGGCACAAAGCCTTCTCCATCATCGCCAAGATCGGTAAGTCAATTGTTGGGTATTTCTTCAAATCACTTTCTTCAAGTACACCTTCCTCCTTCCCCCAACTTGTTTGTCGGTGCTAGAACGGGTTATTATGCCTGTTTATCCGCAAAATATAATGTAGGTGTGATTAAGCCTCAAGCATTTCTCTTACAGGCAGATAAACCCAAACCGAAGACCTCTTCGAAACCGGTAAGTTTATCATAATGTAGGAAAATGTATTGCATGCGTGTATATTTCGTAATCATCAAGTTTTTGGAATCGGAATCAGAATTTCGATTCAAATATAACTTTTTGCAGCTTCCTTGCAAAAAGTGCAACAGAACAATTCCCGCAGGAAACCAATTCTATGAGGTTAACAACGCACCTAAGTGCAAGGACTGCTGTATTGTACGTTGTTCTGGTTTGGATAGCTTTGTTACAAGTGCTGTTATGTTTCTTTTCTCCTTCTCATGTTAGTCGTAAAGTCAACATTCTCGTGAGAAGAGTTAGAGAAGGGGTGGGGATGGTTATCTCAGTGTTGCGAGGGAAGAGTGGGCCACATGTAGAGGGGAAGTTGCATAAGTAGAGGTTTTCTGCGGCACGCAAAACTGTGACGGACTAGAGCCAAGGCTCACCACTATGCAAACTATGCTTCTATTCCTTCCCTATC